TGGCTTAAATATTGGCATGAGAGTTCCTGAGGTAAGCAAGGAGAGGAACCAAGCCACCAAATGCTTGTGGACAACAATTATTTTTTTTTGATTATGCAAGTTTATAGACAAGTTTATTTAACTTGATTTTCTGTCATGGTTTATGATTAATTTCCTCTATTTTTCCGTTATATTTTCAAAACAGGTATGTAGGGCCCTCCTTGAAACTGAGCCACCTTTCGATTCGTCTGAAACTGAAACTAACCGATGGTTGTGAGATGGTGTACTCATACTCTTAGAAGTCAGCTCAACAGTTTCTTCATCGAATGATTCGACCATATTACATGAAGGCGGACTGAATGCTTAGCCTATTTTCCAACACCTCCTTTTCAAATCAAGCAGATTTATACTACATAAAAGGTATCTCATTTATCGTGGAAGCATACTTTTCCGAAATTGTAGAAGAATGATTTATCCTGAGATCAGTAGTGCTAACACATTGGTCCAGAAAGATATGTATGCCTAATCACCGGATGTCGTCCTCTTGAAAGTCTGATTTATTGGGACCCATATTGCCACTGTAATCCTCCACCACAAAGGAAACGTATGATAAACTACTTCGAATTGACTCTAAACAATTTTCCTCTGATGATTTTCTGAATTCAGAAAGCCAGGAGTCATATGAAGGATTCGTGTAAGAAGTTTCAAGAGGATGGAGCAACACAATATTACTTGACTTGCTATGGTCATTTTGTATGCATTTTGATCATTTGAATGATGATGATATTAGTTTGTAACTGAATTTAACTATTATCTTAGATGAATTTTGATTGTAATTTTTGACAGTTTAAAAATGAATTCAGATGAAACAATGATCCCTTGAGATTATGAGCTTGAACTATCATTATTTAAATCACAAGCTTGCCACTTCATTTCTTTCAGTGCACCAGAACAACATGCACTATCATTATTTGCAACACAGGAATTAGACTTCATAGTTTCCAAGAAAATTGGAAGCAATCTTTTGTAGTTTAAAGACCCAGCATGTTTAATCAACTTTGTTCATGGACAATGATTTAAAACTAGTGTGGTCTTGAATAAAGCTTGAAATAATGAAAACCACATGAACATGTCCCATAGCCAGTGTGCATTCTAGCGTCAATGTTCCATGAGAGCATGAAACAAATACATGTCATCTAACAAATACATGTCATCTGAGTGATGAAACCTAGTCTTAAACTGAATCATAAATTCCAAAAGCAACTAAGTTTCTTTTGATAATGAGGGATAAATGAGCTTCTAACCATAGCCCAACCAACAAGACATATCTTGACTTGATGAAAACTTAAAGCAATCCTTAATCACTTGACAAGTAACATCGTAAGAATGAAATCTCTTTATTAAATCCCCAAAACTTCTTGAAAGGAAAGCCTTGTAGAGAGACTCTAAATGTTGATGATGAAATTCCAATGAGGATAGGATGATGATCTGTGTAGCCTTGATGAGAAAACCAAATCAAAATAAGAATTATTGTTGAATAACCAACACCAATGCTCAAGCACAACATAGAAGAAAACTATAATTATTTGGCTCTGGGTGCACATTGAGGCAAAAGTGACTTGAGATGTTGAGAGGAATAAAACCCTAGCTCAAAAACATTCTCAATGAAGACATGATAACGTCTTAAGTACACAAGTCAAATCTTAATGCACCGGTTCCTTGGAGAAATTCTGATGAAGAAAAAAAATTTGTATCTTGAAGAACTTTGCCAAGAAAAATATCTGTGATTATTGTAGGTGACAGAGGATCTTCAGGGTAAAAATTGGGGTATAACAGGTGAAACAACTGGCTGAATAAATCATCAAAATGAAGTCACCATCAAACGTTTTTTTATCTCACATGAAGGGAAAGGTAAACTTCGAGTAAACCCGATAAGGGTGAAATCACGACCAAACGACCGAGAGATCGGATAAGGGAGTCAATTATACGAGGGGAAGGTATTAGCACCCCACACGCCCGTAGTACTCTATGGTATCCACTCTTGTTGTTCTAATCAAAGAGTGTGTAAGAATCTATATCTATGCTTAAGAGCTAAAAGAAAATGCAAAAAGGGAATACATGCAAAAGAAAAGAGAAAATAATGTAGGGAAAATAAAGTTGTGTTCGTTCGGACCCTACCCCAATGCCTACGTATCCCTTTTAAGGAATCAGACCAGCCGTAGTTCGACTCAAAAGTTTCTGTTGATTTGTATTTTTTAATGAACAAATATTAATTTCGCCTTCTGCCGAAGCTCGACCTTTGGAGACTCACGCGTCAGCACAAAAGTGAATTAACATGTTCTTTTGAAAAAGTTTGAAAGAAAAGCTCGAAGGCGCAAAAGAGATTGCATTGGTTGATATCTTTTACCTTAAAGAAGAATTTTAAAGCTGTTAGATGTTTTATGCTTTTTCAAGAAAAAGAGTTTTAGTCTTAATGCAAGGATGCAAAAGAAAGAAAAACATCTAAGGGAGACTAACCTAGATCTATCCCTTATGTTATCATACAATGATCGATCCTATGATTGTTTTGAAAGGGAAATCTCTAGCCTATGTTAACATGCATGGATACCTATCCTAAAGTCTAGCTCGAAGGCTACTCTAATCGAGCGATCCTAAGGGAAACATACAAATAAGCAAACAAGTTCTTTGGCAAAATCGCACAAACGGGGTATACTAACTCATGGGATGGGGGTATGAAGAGAAATGCTTTAGCTAAGGGGAGTGTATCACCCAAAGCAAACAAGCGGAAGACAGATGAAATAAAAAAAAAGTGACGTCCAAGGCGACTGAACACCTAACCAAGATATAGAAGATTGAAGTAGGCGACATAAGGCAATATGAACGATCACGCAGTGTCAGCATCGACCAATGTGAACTCCTGAAAAAGCGTGGGGGTTTGATTGCAAAACCCTTCCCCACTTGACGGACTCGATACATAAGATCTTCACGACTCTGAAGCATCAACGTACAACGTGAGCTAAGGATGACATAGACTAGAATATGCGGGGGTCGATTATGGACCCTCCCTGCTTGCCCCCTTTTGAGGACTTATCACCTGTAATATATGCGGGCACAAATATAAACACACGTGCGGAATACCTACTTCAAAGATAGGATTTTAAACAATCACAATCATCATACAGAAAGTGGTGTCTGCTACAGGACTTTAAATAGCGACTTCGAGCGCACGCTCTTTATTTCCTGCTTCCTACTTCACATGATTTCTAGAAAGCGATAAATACTGAAATGAGATAAACGAGAGAAAATACCAAACGAACAAACGTTCGTAGCACCGCGAGTAAGAACAAGAAACCCGGAAAACTTCGAGTAAGCTTCACCAAGCAAAGAAAAGAGTCAGAAATCAAATGCTCGGAATAAGTGTCGAAGCATCATCGATGTGAAAATAAATCACAATCGACATCTCGAGCATATCCGTATATCACACAATAAACCTGCATAAGACTCAATCTCAACAAGAAAATGTGAATTACAAATCTTAAGTAATCAGATAATCAAGATTTAATTCCAAAAAAAAAACAAATAAAAAAATCTAACATTTTTTATTAATGTTTGTGTTTCATCAATATTTTTTTTATCATGTGAAAAAAAACTCAAACAAAACAATTATAAAAAATATCTAAACAAAAATACAAACAATGAAAAAAGGGGGTACAATCTGTAAACATGAGGTAATGTAGCAATCTGGCACTAAGGCCCAATCAATAGAGTCCAATGAGATTTTTTTGTGAATTAGCTTCCAAAACGGTGACACGGACCAGAAGGGAGGTGAGGCGCTATCAATGGTAACCTGAGCGCAAGGCCCATCTAGGAGGAGTCCAATTGTGTTTTTGTTTACATTCAATATTAGGCTTACCAAAAACAAGCTATTTATCCTAGAGGGATTCTAGTCAACCCACATTTTCACTATGTTCCTATTTTTAGCACCTTTTTTTATACAAAATAATAGAACGGGTCGAGAGGGAGTAAGGTTCGGCCCTCTTTGATCCAAAATCATGGATAAACATCAACAAAAAGGGCCAAGAAACGCACCGCTTGGGAAGGAATTTAGGGTTGAAAACTTTATGACCCTTGAGCTTCATGAAGATTCATCTTCCTCTTCTCTGACTCAAATGCGACGCGGTCTCTCCTTTCAACATCTCTGATCTTCCGCCACTCACAAAATCAATTCGCCTTCTTCTATTCCATCACCATTCACAAACTCGACTCTCCTTCGAATTAACCACAAATTTAACTCCCTTCCCACGATTTGAACAAAACTTTCGACGCCTGATGACACTCAAAGATCGCAACATCAAACCTATCGAAAGTTGCTTCCCAAACCTAGGCCTACCACAAACCTCTCATGAAGCAGGTATGGAAGAATAGATCGAATAACAAGTGAAGAATCTTCAGTCCAAAGAAGCTCACAAATTTACACTTCAAAGGATGGCTTGTAATTCAGAGAAGACAACATGTATATAATTGAATCAAGAACAAACGCGAGCCGAACCTGGTTGAGGACTTGCGAGTTATGGTGCAACATTGAAATCGAATTTGATCGATTCACTTCAGGTACGTGTTTATTCCATTTCTTCATTTCTTTTTCCTTTTTGTTTCGGTTCTCAGAGTTTTTGTGTATATTCTTGAATCGTTGTTATTCTGTTACAGTAGCGTGAAGGATGAAGTTGCGGTGTTAAGCTATGAAGAATGTGTGAAGGAAGATGTTGATGAACACTACGGATTCGTTGAAGATGGTGATCCATGAAGATGGAGTAACAAGAAAATTGTAGAGATTATGAATATTTGAAGATTAAAGTTTCTTCAGAGAGAAGTTGCAGAACTGTGATTGATAGAGAATATTGAAGAACAACGAAGGTGATGAAAAGTGAAGGTTCAGAGAGAGGTTTTTTCTGATTTTTTTTGCAGAATTGGAGAATGGATGAAGAATATCGTGATGGTGATTCTTCTGAGGTGGTTGAAGAATGAATGTGAAAGGTGAGTTTTCTGGTTTTATAGTTCTGTTATTACTGTTAAGAATGAATCGACCTGGGCCATTGATTTCTATTTTCTGTTATGGAATGAGTGGTGAGATGAGAGTTAGTTATAGGTTAGCTAGGATTATTTTATGAGCTGTTAGCGAATCTTTTTTCTATTTGTTAGTTATAGAAATTTTTAAAGTCAATTAGAAATATGGTTAGGAAAATTCTGTTATAACTGTCAGGAAGTTAGTTGAAAAGAGAGTTAAAACTAGGATGAGATTGGATGTTGGTTATACTGTTAGAAGGTTAGTTGGGTCTTGAAAAGTTATGGTTAAAAGATTAATGTGAAGATTGTTGTAGGCTGAATGTCAAATGAACTTGATTATTTTGCAGGGCTGTTAACTGGTTGTTTGCTGAGCTGGTAATTGTAAGTTCCTTTCTGATTTTTTGATATGCTTTTTGGACTGAAAGTGTTTGATAACTGGTTTTCTAGTAGTGAACTGATTTATGTAAGCGCAAGGCTATGGTTCACGGATTGGTTTTGATGACTGCATGGTTCTTGGTTAATTGATGGACTAACTTGCCCATGCTTTTGATAACATGATGCAGGGCAGTTTGTGTCCTGAAATTTGAACTGTTTATCGAGTTTGTGCAGGTTCGAAAAGTGTTGGCAAGGATTTTGGAACTATTTTGATTGTGAATTGGTTTTTTTGATTCCATTATGCAGTGCAACTCGTGTTTGGATCTTTTCTTGACTTTTTCTTCAGTCTCAGATTTACTTAACGAGTGCAGGGCCGGTTCATGTAGCAACCTGATTTTGTTATCGAATAGATCTGGTTTATGAAGCAGATATCATGGACAGTTTTGCATCGGTTTTGGAGGATAGGTGATGAATGAGCATATTATAGCATGGCTTTGGTTGAAAGCAAGCAAAGTACTCGAATATGGAACCGTATTGTGAATGGATGATGGAGAACAAGACTCGTGGATGGAAACTTGATTTTTTTAGCAAGATAAAGTTAGCTTAGAACATGAACTTTTTGTGTAATTTTTGTATGGTTTAGTTTTAGGTTTATGTAATTTTTGATGTAATGATAAACTTGTAATCAAAATGTAATGGAACCAAATGACTTTGAATATATGAATGGTTTTGTGATGAAGGTTTGGAGCGTATTTGGATTGATTTTGTAATTTTGTAATGGATGAAAATTGGAATGTAATTTGTGATAGAATTGGAATTAATATGGATTTGTAAATTTGAAATGAATTGCTTGAAAATATTTGCACGATGCTTAGAAAAATTATGGTTGAATGGACATGAACCTTTGAGTGAAAATTTGATGATGAACATTGAGATGTTGAATTTGAATGATGTAAATGACGAATGATATGCAAAATTCGAATAAATATGATGAATTGTGAATGAAATAATGTTGTATGTTGAACTTTGTAACTTGTAACTTCAACCCCAAACAATCCACACACTTTTGCTTTCCAATCTTCTTGAATTGACTTTTTTTGACAATTTAATGACCAAAATGATTGATGACATTCGATTAGTCTTGAAGCCCACTTCATTTCTCAACGAACATATCCAAATCAAGCAACACAAATAATTTTAGTTCAAAGAAATCACAAGCCCATTTCTCAAGCTATAATTTTCACCTTAAATTTCAAATGACTTTATCTTCAAGCCTCGTTCAACAAGTAACCTGCAAACCAACGACCTCATCACAACATTAATGCCCTTGAGGAAATCCTTTGACTCATATGAAACTAAGAGCATAGAAAGACATCCATGTGATAAAACCCTAATTTCATGAGATACATAGGGAAAAAAACCCTAATCTCTGAAATTGATGAAACTGGATGGAGAATGGCCTTATATATTCACGAAGGAGAATTCTTAATGACCATAGACCACAACCCTAAATCTCGACCTCACTGCTTGAAGAATATCTAGACGAATCAGAAGAATTAGGCTTTACTATATACGAACACCTTAAGCACTATGAAACCTTGATATTGTGACTTCACTGGTCCTTTGAACCCATGGTACTTTATTGAACCAAATGTATGCTATGTTAGTAACCTAATGAAAAGATGTGTATGCAACGGTAAGCCTAAGCCAAATAGAAGAAATTAAGAGGGCAAATTTTGAGGTGCAACAACAGGCCATTCTCTTTCTTATACGTGTCTAACTCTGACAAGACATGTATACTTTATCCCCATTAAGTTCGCCTTTGATCGGTGTTCTTTCTCCAGGAATCTATCTTCAATTATCATTCCTTGTTGGAGCCTTCTTCGATCGGTCTCTTCCTTGTTTGTATGTGACTAATTTTACCTGGCGTATACCCATTATCTTTTATGTCCGCTACTGTGATACGGTGGGAGAACTTACTTGGGTGTTTTGTGTTTGATCACAAATGTTTCCGTTATCATGAGTCGCCACCGACTTTTCTTTTATCCAAAAGGAAAGGTGAAAAAGCACATGAAAGACCTTTGAGATTTATTTCTTGAGTTCGGGGGTAGATTATGAAAAGGGAAGGTATTAGCACCCTTTTCATCCATGGTTTTCCATGGGCTCTTAGTTACTTGCTAGATCACTTGCTTTTTGTTTGAAATTGTGCTTTGTGTGGTTTTTGAAAGTATTTTGTAAAGAGGCCATTGTTTAGGCAAACTTTGTAATGATTCTCGTTCGTAAGAATGTATACAAAGTGTTTGATCTTTTGAAAATGTTTTCAAGTTTGAAAGATGTTTTGAAAGTGTATGTGTTTGTTTTGAAAATAACAAGGATGTTTGTTTTGAAATTGAGAAAGTAATTAGGAGCATTCTACCTTCTCAAAAGTCTTTCATGTTCATTTTCTTTTCCTTTGACATTGTTATCTTACCATTGATTTGGTAAGTAACCCTATCTTTGGATGTAAACGGGACGGGCGTGGGTCATTGTATAACCATGATTAGCAAGGTTGCAAGGTATCTTAGGATTATTTTTTAGGGACTAAGATCATTTGAATAGCAACTTAGATAGCGTCATCGAGGCACTATGATCTTGTATTTTGCTTGTTTTGCTAAGATACCTCACATGCGTAATATGATCATTTTGTAAAGGCAACCAAGTGGATTTACCCTAGGGGTGCTTGTGTGCAAGTGTATTATTTTCATGCTTGATTTTATCTTGAATTAGAGTTTTCTAAGTATTGGTTTTAGTCTTTCCATACAAACCCTAATTACTAGCATGTTATATATAAAACGATAAATTGCGGAATTTAAAGTTACTACGCTATTACAATACTTGTGGGAGGGGGGTGTACAAATTATAAATGGGGATTGTGAGAAAATAAACCTAATTAATTTATTACAACCATATTGAATTGGTATAAATGTACAAGAAATTAAATGAATATAATGTACAAAATGAATAAATATGCAAGAATGTAAATGTGAAAAAAATGGATATTTTTGTTTGGATTTTTTAGGAAAAGGGAAATTGATTTAACCTAATTAACTAAAGAAAAATAATTAATTAAAAGTGAAATTTATGTTTACTAGAAAAAGAATCTAAATGAAAACCCTAGTTTTTAATTTATTAAAAAGAAATTAAGTTTAAGAAAAATATTTTTTTTGTATTTTTGTCTCGAAAGTAAATATAGTGTTATAAAATATTTTTGTCTTTTTTTTATATTAAAATAATATATTTTAATTGGTGTAAAAGAAAATAAATAAAACCTATTTTTTAATTAAATTTACAAGATATTTAGTGAAATAAATAAAGTATTTATTAAATAAAAATAATTTTTATGAGAAAAAATAAATAAACTATGTCAAAATGAAAATCTAATATTTTTGTATTTTTTATGATTTTTTTAGTATTAGAAAAATAATTAAGAAAACAAATAAAAAAAGAAAATAAGAAAATAAAATAAAATTGGGCCACGGGCGTGTAAATGAAACAGGGGGGTTAGCCAGCAAAAACAAAAACAATCAAGGCCCAAGGAGGCCTAGCGCCTGCAAAAAAGGGGGTCAAAATTGCAAAAGAATGTGAAAAAAACAAAAGGGTACCACTGAGGCTCGAACCCAGGTCCCAAAGGTTACAGGCGCGTGCTTCTACCACTGGGGTGGCTATACATCCGTTAACGTAAGCAAAACAATAAATATATGATACAAAACGCGCCCTGATTTACACTTCATCTTCAACCTCCAGCCAGACCAACTATAACTTGTTCATTTCTCAACAAAAATGAAAACTGTAAACATGAAACTTGTAGTAAATTTCCTCACGGTTTCAGAAATGTAAAGCATTAAAACTATAGACCAAAGATAAGCATGAATTTCATTGGCCCTAAACTGAACTCTAAAAATCTCAGAAACTTCAATCTTAAAATTCTCTAAGCTCAAGCAAAATTAATGGAAACTAAGGACATGATTAGCTTTAGGGCAATGATATCTACATATTTTGTTCACAAATAAATCATTGATGATGCCTGTATGAAGAGTTCCAAAGTTAGAAAACTTAACTTGCAAGAGGGTATCAAGTTTGAAGTTTGAGCAGCTTTCAAGGAGTTCCAATGGTTGGGTTAGCTTCCTCAAGTTCCCAGGAAGCTAATGGGATTCTTATCTTAAGCTGAAAGTACCTGAGGAGTTCTGGAGAAGTCCAAGTGCAAAGCTCTGTTTTTTGAAATGGAGGATGGTGTTAATGGTGTTACAATTTTGTAACAGGGTGTGGGATCAGTTCTAAATGATGTTTAGAAGCTTTAAGAACGAAAAGGCTTGAAAACGCACGAGGGAGTTATGAGTTTCAAGTTTTTGGTCAGTTTATGTAAAAATGGAGGTATGAGACGTGATTCTGAGTTCTAGGTGTTTTCAGAGCTTGAGCATTCGTATCTTTGATGAAAATAATTTGTGTATCTATAAGCAAAAGGATTGGAGTGCATTGGACAATCAGAAGTACAAGTCACAAGCTTTTGGCTAGGTTACTTGATTTTCAAGAAAAGAGGGAAACCAAGTTTCAATGTGAGGTACAAGCATGGGCTGGGTGATTGTAAGTGTCTAAACCATCTCTCATGTATTGTAAGACATGTATGATCAGAAAAGAACAAGTGCAAGGCTCAAGAACAAGTTTTGTGCAAAAAAGCACTTTATCAAAATGGCAATGTACACTTTCTTCCAAAAATGGATATAAAGCATGTCCATGTATTGAATGCTTAAAATGAGACCTCTAACAGCTATGCAAACCATTAATTATGGAGTGCCTAACAAGTTTGAGGCCTGCAAAGTAGAGTTTATGCAACATAGTTTGAATTTTGAATTTGGTTCATCACAAAATGACTTGTAATTCAAGTGATAAAAACCTAACTTCATCTCTTCGATTCTCCCTACTCAAGAATGATCTCAAGGAGTTCTTGGACATTTTGGAAAGCTTTCAATGTGCTATACAAACCATATTTGAATTGATTTTTAATATTACCCTTAGAACTATATGAAAAAGTTCCATGAAGTTGGGTCAAAATCCTGACCAAATTAGGGCAAAATTTCACTAAGTGTTTTGTTTCATGACCACATGTTCTTAAAATTATAACTTGAGATCCAAGAACTTTTGGAAGAAGTTGTGTGAAGAAAAGTTGTAGATCTCATGGAGATCTACAACTTTCATGTTGGAAGTTTCTCTTGAATCATCTTGCATAATGGTGAAAATTTTGCTCAAAGTTATGAAAAAAATAAGAAATTTCCAACACTTAGAAAAATTTCTAAGTTTAGAAATTTTCACTTTTCAAAATGAAATCTTGAATTTTGAATTTCTTGATGAACAAGTTTCATATTTTGACATGTTTTGATGAATTGTGA